ACTGGGGGGTACAAAAAAAAAAGGTTTGCGTAAATTGTTAAGTGTAACATTAAGATAAGCTTCAGTCAGGTTTACGAGTGCACAGATTAGCCTGGCAGCAGCTTTTTATACAGGTTTTCAGTCAGCAATCATTTGAATAATATTTGATTCACCTAAAACATGTACTCTCCCAACACCTACTTCAGATTTTGGTTGGTGTGCAAGTCTTGCCTAAAGCAGTGGCAAGGGAGTCAATTCTGTCACTTTTACACCTGCCTGATGTCACCCATGTGACATTGATATCTGGTGCTTTATCATGTTGTTTTTTTGTTTATTTTAGGCATCCAGAGCTTCTGCCGTGACTTGGTGGAGGTGGCTGACATTCTGGAGGAAGCAGTTGACCAAGCCACCAAGGAAGGAATGAAAGACATGTCTGATATCTTGTCTAAGGTTGATGGGAAACTGCAGAGTGTTTTCACTAAGCATGGACTACAGAAAATGACACCAGTGGGAGGTGACTACGACCCTTATGACCATGAAATTGTCAGTCATGTTCCTTCTGAGGGAAGAAAACTTGGAAGTGTAGCAACTGTAATACAGGATGGGTACAAGCTGCATGGCCGTACCATTCGTCATGCTCATGTCAGTATAGCGGTGGAGACGCAAGAGTGACAAATACTGACTGAAGATCCCCTTCTATGTTCCTCTGAAAAGCCCCCCTTATTTATTGCAATTTGTTTATAGTATAGACTGTTATTCTCTGTCATCCCAGAGAATGTAAAGCCTCTTCTCAAGGTTCACCACCTTGGGATTACATTTTCTCGTGGAGTGCCTTAGTGTCATCTTCTCATGCGCTACAAATATCTTTGGGATTGAAGGACCGTGTCACATTTTTATTTATTTTGGCCTATTGCTTAGAAGGCAGAAATAATGTTATATATGAATATATATGCTATTACTGAAACTCTATGTATATCCTATAGAATGTTATTTGTGATACTATCCCTAGGGGATGGAGATATTTACTACAGCAAAAAAAACTGGCTTTCTTTTTCGTGGTCAGTTTAAACGCACGCACACACACACTTACACTTTTATTTTAAGTGTTTTTTGTTATTGTTTGAAAAAGTATATCTGTCTTCTTCAGAGATGCACCACCATATCCAACAAGAGAATTTGTCTTGGCAAACAAAATGGCTAAAAAAAAAAGAGAGGCTGCCTTTTGTCCTCATACTGACTAAATGATTTTGATACAGTTGTCAATCTGGGTACCCTATGTATTGACCACCAAGTGAACATGTAATGGCATTATGTCTCCATTCCCTAAGTCTTCCTGAAGCTGGAAATTTTGTTCTGGATGGATACTGGCTAGCTCATTTGCCAACTATCTTCATAGGGCTTGTTTCCTTCAGATGGGTTGTCATACCTTTTTAGCTACATTTTACGATGCAAGCAGACTGTATTGTCAGAAACCTGTTTTTCAGTGGAGTCTGTGCTCACTATTGTGTTTTGGCTGTTTTTGAAAATGTCCTGCATATTATATTTGGGTGCATTGACCTGCAGTTAACATTTCAAGTCTGTTCTTTTAAATGTGCATTGTATGGCAACATACACCAACCTAACACAGTTAGCCATGTGTGCTGGTAGAAACGAGCCCTTTCACATCTGGCTTGACTTAGCCTTCTTTGCCTGGGTTACACCGTTGTTTGGCATGAACCAAAATACAGATTTGTGAATGAATAGTAGAGTTGTGGTTGCCTGGGGGGGTGACAATCAAACTGGGATTCCCATGTGCTTATAGAACCAGTGGGTAGTTAAACCGGCCAGTGTCAAACCAAAACAAAGAATCTGGTTTTGGATAGACTCGCCTCGTTATTTCTATGATCAGACCAGTTATTGGTGGACAGTTTACTGCAGTGGTGGCGAACCTTGGCACTCCAGCTGTGCCAAAACTACAAATCCAAACATGCATCTGCCTCTGGGAGTTATGTCAGTGGCTGTCAGAGCCTTGCAATGCCTCATGGGACTTGTAGTTCCAAAACAGCTGGAGGGCCAAGGTTCGCCATCACTGGTCTACTGAATGCAGAACCCATATGTTGTCATCCTAGAGATGTAAGGCCAAAACATTTTTCATTTAGTTTTGGATAGAGTGGGGAAAGAGTAGTACTACTTGTCTAGTAGATACTGTTCCAAGGACAGGAAGAAGGGGAAATCTTTCCCTTGTACTTCTCTCTGGTAAAATGTCCCCAGAACAGAAGTTATGGGAAAATCTCCTGGATAGCAGTAAATACTGACCTGTGTTCTAATCTTTCCCATTCTATCCACAACTGGGAAAAAAATTGCGGGTATAGCTTAACTTTATTATATGGATTTGGTATTGCAAACCTGCTTTACATTTGCCAACTCCCAGAAAATGCTTTTATTAATAAAGTATACAGTGTATATATACTGTAGATCCAGTCCTGCGTTGGCCAACTAAACAAAGGGTTAAGCAAATAAAACTGCTTTTTATATAAGCAGATTTTGTTTGGTGTGATAAATTCTCTTGAACTCTCCCAATCAGAAATACTTCCACACCATTTGCCATGAATTCAGCTATCAAAGTCCTCCATCCTGTGCAGGATCATCCATTGGGGATTACTTCACCCTCGTACATCTGGGATGTTTCCAGAAGTGTGCAGTGTTTGTCCGCACTGAGTGGGAAAACTTGTTACTGTCGGGCCCGGCCATTACATTTCTCCCTTGAGACTAATCATTTGAAATGCGCAGAGACGCTGCTGTTTCCTTTCTTTTAAACTTGGATTTGGCATCACGTCTGATGTCTTTGGGTACTTTTTATATTCTGAAAAGTCATGAATCTGATTTTGATTTAGCGGGATCTTTACATATGGCTATATCTGAATCAATAACCCATTGCTTTTATACACCTTAATCTTCATCTCATTCATTCATATCCAAAAGTGCTGATGAATCAAATTTTGATTGGAAGCTCAAATAAATTTTAGGATTATAATGAAGTAATGTAAACATGTAGACTTGAGACTGGCTGTACTGCTTTCATAACTACCCTTTTTTATCAACCAATTTAAAGTTTTTTTTCTGCTGCTTAACTGATACACCAACAGGAATTTCACAGATACTTTCCCCATACAAAGCATTTCCATCTAATAAGAGTGACCTGACCATCAAGTATGGCTTATATACCCATGCTCCCTGAAAATGTATTTTCCACAATGGTCAAGGCTTATGTTTTCATTCTGTATTACACTGTATAACAATTGCAGGAAACCCCTTGCTGTGAAGCGGCAGCCTGAGCCAAGCTTAGCGGTTTTCTGTTTACATTTCTGGATGGGACTGCTGGTAAATATTGACTACAAAAATATCTGTGCCATTATTCCTACCTTCATCGTTCACCAAAATACTGGAACCTGCTCGTAAGGGATTATATCCTGTATAACTGTGCCAAGATGGCTTCCATGCAGGCAGTTGATGTTCGAGAATTGGGAGGCTGAGTGAGCTTACACAAGGACTGGAATTGCTGATGCAGGGTGTTTCCAGAATGGTGTTCAATCTCTGATTCTCCACAGGAAGTAGTGTTCCTTTCACTGTGGTGGGGCCTACTCTGGCTAGTCAGAGCAGAAATAGCATCTGGTGGCGAGGGCCTTTCTCTATCTTTTTCAGTGAAAGATCTGTGTTGTATGGGCAATCTAATGCGCATGGTATGGCAAAATAGGATATTTCACAATTCGCTGTGTACGATGATGGAGTTTACAGATTTCTACTCAACCTTCACCTCTGTAAAACAACATAAAGGGTTTGTATACATTGGCAAATATTATCAGCCAGCATCTGTAAAATAACATGCCAAAAACGTATTCTACGTAGTAAACTATGACCTAAATTTAGTAACACTTATGACTTAAAGCAGCACAATAACAACTTTTTCAAATGGTATTGCACAACATAAAAGATTTCCATCCGAACTATTCTGTGCCATGTGCCCCTATGTGTTGTGGAGCACTGCTTTTGACAAAAATAGTGCACGTGTGTTACCTAATGCATGAAGAGCCCAATCAAAGTGAAGGAGCTGCCTTAATGCAATTTGTAAATGGGCCCTTAATCAAGCTAGGGCCAGCTGACTGCCTCATCCTAACCTTCCCATGTATACCCCACACTACTGAACTCATCAGTTGCCCTTTCTCAACCAGGCAGTAGCCTACAGTGGCTGTTGCAGTTCTTCAGGCATCTTCACTGAGTCAGCTGACTGTGGAGTACTGTTTATAAGTGTCTTGTTCTTCATCTGCCTATTGCAAATGCCATCTCCAGGCAGGCATGCAAATAGAAAGGCTCCTCAATTAGGGCCTCTTGTGAAAAGCCGCTCATCTGCAGTATTCCAAGGACTGTAGAACTGCTAACGTAGAACGGGGTCGGAGGTTACTGGCTCGTCTGAGGTGTCTGCAATGGTGTGCTGACCAAATTTGTGACCCTCAAACATCTTTGTAACAAAGAACATTCGGATATTGACACAATAGTAAAAGTATCCATCTGACATTGCACTAATTATACACACTGCTCTTAATCATCCTCCACCCCAATTGGTAATCTTGGATGGAATCTTATTTAACCTCTTGCTGTCCGCCCGTAGTAAAAAAACGGACGGACGGCACTGCAGCATCTGCGGGTTGCCGTCTCCAGACGGCAATTTTTTTCTGCTCGCGCGCGCCCCCTAGCGGGCACGCACGACTGAACCCACCATATTTGAATACATTCCTAGATAATAAAAAAAAAAAAAGACCGGACACTTGCATGTGATTAAATGAATGATAATGAAATAGCAAATGTTATTTTAGGCAACAGTTTTTTTTTTTTTTACAGGTGCATGCTGGGAGTAGGTCATACTTGAATATTATGCCTTTGTATGTCTAGCTTTTCAGTGTCTACCTCCACAATAACGCATGGTGGCTTCCTGTGTTAGACAGCAAGGTAGCAGAGCGCCTCTGAAGGAATACCTGCTCTCATTGCCCTTCAGCTAATTGGATTATTTCTTTCATGGCTCCATTGGGGTATAGGAAAATGAAAGTGGAATCTGGTGACTAAGGACAACAAGAGCAGCTGTTCCTTGAGACACTTGAGGAGGCCCGCGAATGCAGTCCGGCTGCAGCCTCATGGTTGTAAATGTTTTTCAAGGTCTTGAATTAAAAAAAGAAAGCATGCCAGGTCTTCCAGTTTATCGATATAACACTTTTTGTATTTTGTGTGTTGATTTCATTTATAAGGTTTAAAAATAATTCAAGTTTTTGAAGGGGTGCACAAATATAAAGGGGATGGCTACACGAACATTTCATGCTCTCAGGATGAAGAAGTCCTTTCTCACATCTCACAAGCAGACTGTATGGCAGTACTGTGTTTTTATTATTATTGTACTCCTCTACTTCTGTATATAACCAGTACCTTTCCTGGTATTCTGATGACCCTGCTGGTATATGTAGATACACGGTTTGTTGAAAAGCAGAGTCCTAGAATTCTGGAACTCCTCTTGTAAAGGGCTTAACCCCAGGAGTCCCTGGGGGCATGTGACATGGTCATTGTGCTGTTGGTGGTCTTCTGGGAAAAGGGTAAGTGAGCATGAAATCTGCTTTTGTTCAGGGGACACAATTTTTCAGATGTTTGAGTTTCATCAAATTAAATGTTTTTTTTCTATTCAAGCTTGAAGTTGTCTTTCCTTTTTATAAGTGCAAAAAAAAGCACAAATGTTAAGGCCCTTTATATACAGTTTTCTTAATATTTGCTTGATTTTTTTCTTTTTTTAAGTATACAAAGGACTATTTTAATTCTTGTGGTTACAAAAATCAACTAACTCACCACCCTGGTTGCACATATCTCTAATAACTCTCACCCGTTGCCCCTGCCAGCCTGTATAATTGGAAACTTCACTACGTTGCCCCAGAGGCTGTAAAACAGCAAAATGCTTGCAATGGGGGTGCAGTGATTGGTCAGCAAGGCCTTATAACCATGCAGACCAGTGAAGATCTATTCCTCCTTCTGCAACGCTGTCCCAAAAA